CTTGGAAACCACTTCTGAACTTTGTGCTTAAGGTGGAAAAAAATGAAACTTTGATTTGGGTTTTACCAATTAGATATATTTGTTTTTATAGAAATGGCTAGTTTATATGATTATGAAAAAGTAAAAAGTTGAGGGTACATGTTAATGCCTTATTTTCCTGCACCAAAGGAGTTGGAAGTCAATGATTGTTTTTTCTTTTCCTCTTGCTTTCCCCCACTATCCACTTCACTTTTTCCTTCCTTAATATTTATTTTTGTATTCTCTTTATATGTCACATTATAAATTAATAAAAAACTATATATATAAAATTCCAACAAAATCTCAATGACCTTTTATGTTGTTTTTTACAGGCAATAACAATAGCACTTAGACTCATATACACTTCACAGCGCTTTACAGCCCTCTCTAAGTGGTTTATAGAGTCAGCATATTGCCTCCCACAATCTGGGTCCTCATTTTACCCACCTCAGAAGGATGGAAGCTGAATCAACCTTGAGCCGTTGAGAATTGAACTCCTGGCAATCAGCAGAATTAGCCTGCAATACTGCATTCTAACCACTGTGCCACCATCGACAGGCAAGGGTTCCAACTCCACACAGCTACTATATTCAAGCCACTGGAACTTCCAGCCCTTCAGTTGATTTCTTTTAAGGGAGATAGATTGTCTCTGGCACTTTTACAAGAGTTTCCAAATGTTAAAGATTTCTTGCTTTCTTCCTCTGTTTGTTGGAAATAAATTTATCTTTCAGCACTACTACTGTGAGGACTAGGTTACATGGACATTAAGAACCACTTACATAACTCAAACTCTACAATTTAATCTACTTGGCTGAAATTTGGGCACAGCTACCAACGAGCAATTGCTGCTCTATACAGCAGGACTTCCTTCTGCCTGTACTAGTAGAACTAATGAAAGTGCTCATGCTGATTTTTTAATTTTAATTTTGAATTTTCTGAAAATGGCTCAATATATATTCAAAATTGAAAGAAATGACAAATGTATAGACTGCTTTCTTGCAACTTGTGGTAGAGAATGGATATGATCTTAAAACACAGTCTGAATAAATATATTTGAATTATACCGGTGGCTCCATGGTTCCTAACAAATATTCTTACTTTATACTTAATTTCTACAAGCAGAATTTTCACTATTACAGATATAGATATTTTTAAAAACAGAAATAACTAATTCAAGTTACCAGTTGGAACCATAAGAACAACTTGATCTACTGAGTCACAGTGACCCAGGAATATTTCATTTTTAAAAAACTGAGTAAACTACAGTTAAATACATTTGGCATTTGAGAGCCTTAAAACTCCTGGAAATTAATCAGCTCTAGGGTTATACCAACTTAAACTAGTGGAAAAGCAACAGCACTTTGCAACAGCAAAGCCAATTTTATGGTCACAATTGAAGTTTCCTCTGAATACAGACCAATAACTTGGCAGTCTGTATAAAATGTCAAGAAAAAGAAGGTCTCTTCCTATGAGCCAAGGGAGTAATTTAGATAGTATTTTATCATAAGAAACTGAGCCAATGGAAATTATGTAATAATTTAAGTGCACATGGGAATAATAGTAGAGAAAAGGTCATTCATTTCCATATTAGCTAATTGAGTAACATGTGTTTTTCCAACCTGGTTATATTTAATATATTCAATACACACTTGGCTCTCTTTTGGACCATTTCGGAGAGCTGCAAGAAAGATAATTTAGTGATAACTGAAACGACATTCAACAGCATCCACCCTCATTTTAAAGGTAAAATAATAATAGAAACAGAAATGACTATCAATTAATAGTTCTATTTTAGCAATATCAGTGTCAATATGTATTTAAATATATTTAAAGATATATTTGCATATCATTGAAGTATTACCTAATGCAATAATTCTTTACCTCATCAAACATTGCTTGACATGACAAAACTCAAATTTTGCATCCTACCTTATACACAGAACTAATAATGATATTGCTTAAAAGATTTTTTAAAAACTTGTTTCTTTTTTAAAAAAAGACAACGAAGATATAGATTGATCCCTATAGGTATGAAAGTATCCAATTACAAGTTTCTGTTAAAAGAAATATGAATGAAGCAAAATTAGTCATATTAATTTCATATAATTCATTCAAATTAATGGTTTAAAATATATAACTGATGAAATCACAAAAATAAACATAAACATGAATAAAATCATAGTAATAAACATGATTAAAACATGGATAAAAATTCTACAAATGATAGGGTAGTGTCAGGTTTCGATGTCGTCTCAAATAAAATAAATTGCATTTCCAAACAAATAGTCTTATTTGTTTGGTGGAGAGGTAAACCTTCTCTCCCACTCGGAATGGTCTTTGGGAAGTAAATGCAGGTTGAAGTGCTGACAGGGTAGCTTGTTAATATAATTATGTTAATATAACTAATTGTATATCCTATTGTATTCTATTGTGCCAAGATCACCTTCTGAAATGCAGGTTTGCCCATAGTCTAAAACAAATGTAATGATTATTTTAACTTGCATTTTTAGAAAAATGAATATTGCTTCTATGGAGTAAAAAGATTATTATGGAAACAATTAAATGGAATATGTCTTTAGGCAACCTGGCACTTCATGTGAAGCTGCTTTAACACAAGCATCCATTTTTTCTTTTCTATTGTTATAGTTCAAAATAATCTTAAATTTGGTCTTAAGGAAAATTGATCTTAACAAAAATCTTTATGTTTGTGACTATAGTGTATAATTCCCTTTGAATTACTTTAATTTCAAGCGTTCATATTTCAAAAGGTAAAACAACTCAATCCCAAAGTGCTTAAAATTGGTTATGAAATCTCTTTTAAATCATGCAAATGGCTGAAAAATGTTTATAGAGTACTGGTAGTTTCATCCTACATTTATCTTGATAAATCCCCTGAGAAAACTAGCACTTATGGAAATAAAAAATGTATCAAATGTTTATAAGTTTGGCCTGGATGTTCTATGTTTAAAAAAATATTTTCAAACATCATTAGGGCAGTTTATTTTCCTACATGTAATATTACATATGTTCTCTCAGTCTTTCTGCATATTTAAATTGCAGAATTTTAAGACTACAACCTCTTTTAATACCTTAAAGCAAAAGTTCTCAAACTTTATGATACTGTAAAAATGATAATTGTTTATCATATCAATTATAGGCCTCATTCACGAGTACAACTAATGATTTCATTGGGTTTAGGATTAGATAATTAAGAAGTGTACTACTTATTAAAAATTATTACAATCTTACTAACAACTAAACACCATTTACCTAGATTTACTAAAATAAACTTCACTGCATTTTCTGAAGCTAATTTCATCAGCATTACTGGCAAAGTAATCATCTTTAGTTTTCTTCTTACCACTTAACAAGCCTTTTCCACTTTGAAAGCCTACAAATGTTAATTAACGGATAAAAATACTGACCCTTCCTAATATATGCACTTCCACAGATATTCAAAAGTCTTCAGATTTAGTCCCACACCAGAAGTGAATGGCTGTCAGTAAACCAGCTAGAAATCACAGTGCTTCTGTAACTAAGAATGATTTTGATAAGACAACCAGACCAGTGGAACAAATTGCAACGGTGCTCCCCTTGTCCTTGCACAAACACAACCAGTTCTTTAAAATCCTGTAGTCCCCACCTATGTTGTTTGCAAGCCCACAATTTGAGAACTTGAGGCTGAAACAGAAATAACTGTTTCATCATAATCTCACATTTTAAACCTACAAAACAAGCTTAGCTGCAATGGACTGCACTACAAGATAGACCAGCCTAAGAAACCAAAGCCATATAGATCAGGATTATTTTTTATTGTAACAGTTATAGTAACTGAATATTGCAAGTATGACTATGCTTCTCCTCCCTCACTTTATCTTACTGAGAATTAGTAAGGGCCTGTCTGAGACATTTATTCAAACTAATTTCTTGACCTGGTGTCAAGACCCACTTATCCAATTGTTGCCTTGCTAGTGGCTCTTCCTCTTGCACTTCACGGCCATTCCTTATGCCCACCACATGGATTTAGACACAGAAATAAATTAGCTTATGGATGAACAAAAGGGAAAAGGCATTGCAATATTATTTGAACAAACATTGATCCCAAATGAAATATAAAAATAGAAGATAATTTAATTTGCCAACTTCTTTCTCCATCACACTCTTATGTCTATAAGTTCCTTATAAACGTATCTTCACAGAATAAATGCAAATACAGTAAAGCAAATAGAATTCTGTTTGTTTCTTCTTTATATATAAACTGGGAACAAATAGAATATTTCAAAATCTAATGAGTTTTAGTACACCAGACAAGTTTTGTATTTAAAAAATAGACCTGAAACAAGTTGGAAAGGAAGAATTTCAGTGTAGAATATTTTTAGCAATATGGTAATAAAGGGCTAGAAAAACACTTTATCTACTTAAGTCTCAAATTCATCTGTCAAAAATTCTAGAAATATAAGCATTCTTATAGCTAAAATAGAACCTTAGCATCCTCTTCAGCTAGATAGCCTGTGTCTTAATGAAGCTTGCCTGGCTCAGATGTTGAAAGAATGATTTTGTTAGTAATAGCATAGAACAGTCCATTTTAAAGAACATTATTCATCACAGGATCAGTATGAATACATCTAGTGAACTTTTTTCTGTTTGAAATGTGAAAGCTAGCATGGTCTTTTACAATATTCATAGGATAAAAAGAAAATTCACATAATTCATATTCATTTATATTTCTTAAATATATAGATGCATGTACACACACACACACATGTATGTATGTATGTATGTATGTATATCAACATACAAATTTAAATTAAGTCTGCATTGCTATATGCTTTTGGTTATTTTTTGAAACCCCACCTATTCAATCTATAAGTTAAGACTTAAAGAATCTTCCTCCTACCTCTCTTTCTCTTTCACCAGGGTCCCTGGATTTCTCCTCTTAAAAATGCACCTACATTGTGAATGCAACCCAAGGAAATTCTTACCTTCTTCCAGGGTTCCAGTCTGCTCTGACGCAGGTGATGGGGGTGGAGAAGGAGGCAGGTTAGCTGTTTCTTCAACTGCTAATGATTGAACAATAGAAAGAAAACACATCTATTAATTAATCTGAAACCAAAATACACTATTGGAGTCAAACTCCATTGTTTCAGTCTGCATCCAATAAATTGAATCTTATGAGTTCAAGTGAATCTCAGGAGTTTTTAATGTGGTACAACTCAAGTATCCACTCAATTCAAATGAGGGGACATTAAAACTTGTGCATTTATAAACAAGTACGAATGTTGCTATATACTGTAAGAGGCAGAGGATATGGGGGTGCTTGGTTGACATGCCAACTCTTTGAATAAGTAACATTGTAGCTCTCAGATGACAATAAAAAACTGATTTGTAAACCTAAAAAGAAAAAAAAATCAAGCAATACTTGATTATAAAATTTGGAGGGGTTTTACAGCAGGATCCAATCACATGTAAAATTCACATGTGAATTTGAGAAATCAGTACTGTAATTTATTTATTTCATATGTCATTACAATTTAAACAATTTTTTTCTGGCATCATCTTCATTTCTTACATAATTGCCAGCTAATTTTTTTTATAACCAGAGTAAAAATCATGATGCTCACCTCCTATTAATCATCTATTGGTGGTAGATGACATACTGTATGTGGCACAAGAGCAAAAGAGTGGCTTGAGCAGAAATCAGTGCTAAATATACCCAAGTAATATTTCCTAGGCTTTCTCTTGAAATACTAGGCAACAACCAGGCAAACGTAAGCATCTCTTTGACCAGTTTACATCATTACAGAATAAACCATTTTTAAACAGGACTTTAAAATAATGTATTTTAAAGTCTTTTCAGTCTTATTTATGGTTCCTGTAATATAGGAATATTAGCAACATTCATAGATCTGTGATGTATATAGCAATGGGTAAAATAAGTAGATTAAAGCTGAATCCATGGGAAAATGAATCTATTATATATAAAGGTATAGTATTCATACTATGTTCATAAATGATTATTCTTGTTAGCACGAGAGAGAGAGAGGGAGGGAGGGAGGGAGGGAGGGAGGGAGGGAGAGAGAGAGAGAGAGAGAGAGAGAGAGAGAGAGAGAGAGAGAGAGATTAAATATGTGCTTAAGTTTCAGCATAAAATGAATTGAATATGCTTTCTGCTCACAGAAAATATATTTGTTCCTAAAAGCAGACACCCATTTTAATTGATTTCTGTTCTACTTTCTATTTCTCTTAATATTTACAGCAAGCCCCCAACTCTCAGGAACAGTTTTTCTTTTAAACTTGCAGAGGTTTGGACAACTGATTAAAATTTGGCAGTCTATCTATTTATGCATGTGCATGGATATGTGTAATTGAACAACCTTATTTATATACAGAAATATTTATATCCCCTTTTTTTCCATCTAGGAACTCAAGACATCACATATGGAGACTCCAAACCTTATCCTCACAAGCCTGTGAGACACAGTACATTGGCCCAACGTAACTGCATGAGCAATATGAGCAAACAGGGCCCTGAATCTAGATTTCTCACTTCCAATATAACCTTTTAATCACTAATTCCATTGGGTTTTTTTATCCATTGCCCCTTATTTTGATTGCTGGGAAAGTTGAAAAATTACTTAAAGAATAAACATCCTATTTTGAAGTTTGTATTATTCATATAAAAAGTCAAAAATTGGACTGTAACATAATCCTACCTTTCCTAAAAAGCTGCAAAATAATTCTAAGCGAGTCAGCTCTCAGGTCTTAAAAATGAAATAAATTATACAATTTTTAAAAATGGGAAAGCTGTAATTCAACACTTTGTTTTCTAACACACCACAAACATACATCTAAAATAATTTGCTTTACCTAAAGGTAATTGCGCTGGCTGATCTTTGAACTGGGCTTCTTTTTCCTGTTCACTTTTCAGAACTGCCACAGCTTCAGCAGTTACTACTTGGACTATTCTTGCAGATACTTCTTCTGGGACGGATGGAGGATTAGAACAAGACAAACAAAAGCATGTTAATGATATAGGAAGACAATTATTTTCAATCTAAGTTGCAATTCTGAAAGCACTTTTCCACACTTACCTTATTATACTCAACTTACTCTATTTTGCTAACTTAATACTGCTGTTTTCCCCCCAAATAGTCAGTCAGTCAGTCAGTCTGCCTGCCTGCCTGCCTATGTTATCTATCTATCTATGATATCTATGATATCTATCTATCTATCTATCTATCTATCTATCTATCTATCTATCTATCTATCTATTTATCATATATTATCTAATGTAAGGTCAAATTTCCACATATAGTTATTATTAATTCTACTCTCCATGACTGCATTGATTTATCAAAAATAGTACTTGTACTTCAGCTGGAGTGAATAATCTAAATCTTTCAGATATTACTCAACTTCCTATTTGTTGATTGTTAGGAACTGCTGTTCATCAACATTTGGAGAACTGCAGATTCCCTACCGAGGCACTATATTGAAATTACTTGAAGACTCTTTATTTAGAATACTTGATCTGTGAAGTAAAGCATTATTGCTACCAAGCAATTAGTACTGTATAGACTTAATTGCTATTTTTTTTAAAAAAGGACTGTCTGTGCGTACTGTTTCTTAGGGGTTCTGGGATTTGGTTAGTGAATGTGGGCAGGTTCAAGGTTAAATAAAAGCATGGCTGCTTAGTATTAGAGAGAATGAAGTGACCTGTCAACTATCTCACCAAATAGGTTAGTTACATCATTACCATCACCCACCCATCTTGCCCAATTGTGCTATTTTTCTATTGAAGAGAGATTTCAATCAGATTCAGTTGTCGAAGTACTTGTACTAACTTTGGTTTTATTTAGGAAGAAGATCCCAGTGTGTTTTGCTTAAGGTGACAAAATGTTTTGGGTAGTTTCACTTTAATACCAATGATCAGGAAAATCTCCCCTCCCTTAGACTCTTGTTTCAGTATCAGAAGGAACTCCCACATTTGTAGACAACTTGGCAAAATTGTTTAAGAGTTGTTACTGCCGTTTTAGATTAGAGTGATAGAATGGAAACACTTCCCTCTATTTTTATACCTGCCTTAAAAATCTCAAACAAAGTGGAAAAAATTCCTCCCCTATACTACTTAGTAACCGTAGCATCATTGCCAAGAACTGACTTGTTTCCAGAAAACTAAAAGTGTAGGGAATTAATTGACCTTTGAAGTCCAGAGAGAGGAAGCTACAGGTAAGAGTATTATTTTCTGGGTCCCCTCTGATCTTTTATAAGGATGAGGACCCAAAGCATATTTTCTCCGTTAGAACATATAAACTGAATCCAGGCCCAAGCTATACAGAGGTTTATAGCAATCCTCAAAAGGGGCTTCAAAACCTATTGGAAGCTTTTTCAAGATAAAATATTATTCTATTAAACTGGACCACGCTGCTGAGCAGCAGCGTTCTGTGCCAGTTGAGGCTTCTGAGTCATCTTCCACAGTGTTCCACTTAAAGCAAATTACAGCACTCTAACTGAGAGATGCCAAGGGCATGAGTCACTGTTCTCAGTGCCCATGGCCACCCCGGCACCTGCAGGAGCCAGAAGTCCAGGCAGACCATAAGATTGAATGACAGATTTTCTATCGTAGTACAACCCCATTCATAGCAATAGGTGGAGCAACTGCCTCTTATTGGGATTTAATCTTATTCTGTTTTTCCCCATCCAATCCATCCCCTTCAGACAAACAGTCAAGATTTCTACTACATCTCCTGTTCAGTCCAAGATAGAGCATTGATGATACCGAATCTCAAGCTAACACATTTGAAATCTCCTCACAGCATATAATTTAAAATGTAAGTGATGAAAAAAATGATTTAAAGTTTTTGTTCCTTGATTTAATGACTCTTAAATATATCAATTTCTGCTTCAGAGTGCAAAAAATAGCTTATGCAACTTTTCAAATAAAATTTGGATGGCTGAAGAAACCTAACTCTTTTATAAGCTCCCAAATAACATCAATTCCTTATTCATGAATTTTGCAACAGCTTTAATCATCTGAGATAATTATGTCTAGTTATTCCCCGAGATCCCTTTCACATCAAAATCCTGGTCCAGTCTATGATTAGTGCCACCTCCTTGTGTCTCCACAATGCCATTATATTTGCACAGGCTTGGGAAGATGGGCCATTTAACTACTGACTTGTCCGTTTGAGAGACAAATGGTGCATAGAAAGATTTTTTTGGATCTGAGGGGCAGGTAATTTCCAACTGGTAGGAACTGTTACCTCATCACTCTCACTCCCAACCAGGAAATCTATATCCCCTACTACACCATCTTTTCCAGTCATTGATATGATTTTACCAGTTTGGTCTGTGCATAGCAATTCCTACATATAGGCATTTCTAAGTTATTATATCTTATAATAGCAATTTAGTTTAGAAAAACAACTGTTAGGAACAGAATCACTGGCCCTATTCGGCAGACAAGATGGTTTTTAATTGTCAAGGACCTTATTCACAATATGTGTCACATAATTTCCTTATCCTTTCAAGGGATATCAATTGTGTTAAAAAAAACCCCAACCATTGTTAAAAGATAAACCCTTGATGCTGGATTTAGCTTCAACTCAGTAGAAATAACTATCACCTTCAAGGCCGATTTAACAGTATGACAAGCAATCTTTCTTGTTTAACAAAGCATGCTGTCTCTGCCTGGAAAACCTACATGACTTGACATTTGTCCTCCCAGAGAAAGTGATGATACTTTGAAAACAGGCTTGGTAATGGGTCATACATAATGAAATAAAATGCCCATACGTATGCCTGAAAGTACGTAACCTCTTCCTTTCTTTATCAGTTGGCAATGTATGTTGCTGCAGTTGCAACCCAGACTGGAAGGCATCCAATGCAATCAAGCTGAGTGATAGATGCTCGATCAAAAACTGACAGCCATCATCTCACACTCTGCTAAGATTCTAGGCATGCCTGGAAATAAATGGTGAATCTTTCTTTTCTTTTAATAAAGTTTATAACATGGATATGACAACTGGAGATGAGGTTAGATCTGGAGCTAATTGATAGATTCAATCTTCTCTACAGTATATATTTGTTGCTAAACTTTCTGCCCTAGGGACTTCCAAACTCTCTTAAGTTGAGCTTAATATTGGAAAAGATATGAGTGATTTTGGAAGTGAACAAAAAAGTGTCAGGGAGGATTTATTATCTAGCAACATTTTGCCCCTTGGATGATCTAGTAGAATAGCCTTAGCTTTATTCTATACCAAAGAAATTTGCCAGTCCTTGCCACTGGCAGTAAATTTTGCCTTGTGTTAGCCTGAGCAAACTGCAACTCCTCAGAAGTCTGTTTACTGGCAGAAACATCTTTCCAGAGAAATTGGGGGTGTGGTGATGAACAGTCCAACATTTACCTAATTGCTGCAGTGGTCTCAAGTCTTTTAGTGCATTGGTTACTAAAAAGGGAAGAAACAATTTGTAACAACAGCTGAGGTAGTAGAAATAATAAATATAGTCTGAATAGAGTGTACAAGGCCAGTACATCCCCCCCCACCCCAATCCAGATCTCAGTATCAGGTATAATAAAAATGGTCATTGGCTTTTCTTCAGATTCTGTTTGTTTCTCATTCTAAATATTATGCCTCTATCTCATGCAGCAGTCATGAGATGGAGAAAAAGTTGCAGGCTGTAGTGATACAGGAGAAGCAGTTTTGCTTCTTAATATATTAATATGTTTTTATTTAATCTTCTTATTTAATATAAGCCATCCAAATAAAACTAAACAAATTGCCATTTTTATTCAAGTAAAATTCAAGTTATAACATTATTGTAAGGGACATTTTTAGCAACATGTGCAGCAGAAACAGTCTTTTTATTGTTAATGGCTACCAAACAAAACCCAGACATTTGGTACTAATGGATCTTATAAATAACAGGATCCAATGATCCAAGGAGCCTGGATAGCTCTGCAGACAAGGCACTGTAATTTAACACCAGCTGTCTGCAATTAAAGTAAGTTCGAATCTTGCCAGGCTCAAGGTTGACTCAGCCTTCCATCCTTTCTAAGGTAGGTAAATTGAGGACCCAGTTTGTGGGGGCAATAAGCTGACTTTGTATAAAATATACAAAAGTATGAAGGCTATTGCTTAACGCACTGTAAACCGCCCTGAGTCTCTGGAGAAGGGCGGCATATAAATCAAATTTTTAAAAAAAAATACAATTTGGGAAAGGTAGCTAGCTACTTAGCTCTTGTTACATAAATGGATTTTAGTGATATTAAAAAAGAAAATCCAATAAAATTCAGTGAGAAGGCAGGTGGGTATGAGTTTCTTTGTATCTTTAGAACTGTGTTTTTCAAACCTGGCAACTCTAAGATCTGTTGATATCCAGGATTCCCCAGCCAGCATGGGAATTGGTCCACAGACTTTAAAGTTGCCGAGTCTGAAAAAACACTGCTTTAGAATATATTGCACGGGTGTCAAACTCGTGGCGTCACATTGCCAACATGTGACATCGGGATGTTTTCCCCTTCACAGAGCAAGAGTGGGCGTGGCCTGCACGTGACACATCAGGCCCACAGGCCGCCAGTTTGATACCCCTGGATAGCTATAAACTCTGAGCAAAAGGGGAAAGAGACTTTTTGATGCTGTTACACATTTATTCCCTATGCTGTTCTACCACAGTTCACATATACAGCACTGGATGAATTCTTATATAGCCAATAGGGATGTGGTTCACCCTGACTATAAGAGAGTCAAAAATGGGATTATATTAATTCTTTGAGATTTTCCAACTGGAGATCCTGTAAAGCAAGAAATCTACTATATTTAAAAACAATAAATGGTAGAGCATTTACTGAAAGACTAATTTGGGAAAAAAGGCAAATATTGTTGAATTGTTTGCTCTCTGCAAGCAGACATCAGATTTGGTGATTTCTCTGAAGATCTGATGAAGGAACATAGGCTTTCTCATGATGTGTTTTAGGTTAT